GTGGATTCTGGTTGATACTGTAGGATGGTCATCTCTTACAACGCTGCTACTTGCTAATGGTATCTTCCGTGATGTTTTATTACCTCTCAGCAATGTGGGTGTCATTAATTCCCCGGTGTATATGGCATAACAGGTCTCGACAAAGTTTGCTTCCATAAGTTAATGGTCATTTTGTGGTTTTAAATGACACCATTACATTTTCGTAGGTTAATGGCATGGAGTTTATTTGTTGCATAGATTTTGGTTACTCCGAAGCATATTTTGTTCTTACGATGTATTGAGTTCTGCTAGTTTAAGTTTGCTACACACTGAGTTGTGAAATGTGAACATACTGACGGTAAGCGGCTTGGGCCTTAGAACTCTTCCATGCGTAACTTGATTTCCCTGTAGGTCTTAGTCGAGCGCTCAATTAATTTTAATTGCCTCTTTTCGCTAGTCAAATGGTGATTCAATTACAGATTTATTTTCTTATGGGTTTGTACAGTTGTTCTAACAAATCTTGGACTATTTTTCCACTTTTTAATGTGCTGTTATTGGTATCAGATTCCGGAACTAGTTTGATGGTTACTTAGGCGTTTGAAGTTTTACTTTCCGTGTTATTGATATCGGGAGCCAATAAGGATAAGGAGTGCTTCAGTGCCATGGGAGAAGCAAATGAGGTTACTGAGTGACTGGTTTCAAAAGCGTCGATGGATGTACACTAGCTTGTTTACTAATTATACGACAGCAATAAGTAATGGTGTGATGAGAGTAGCAGTGGAGATGTTGACATACGAGGCTCCTTTTGTGCTGCTGTCACCATTCTTTTGAGCAGGTGCCAGGTCAGGAGCTTTCATTATTGCAATTTTGTAGGTAAAGACCAATTTGACTACCATTTTGTGATTCCTTTAGTGCCTCGATATTTGGAATTGGTGTATGTAGAGTTGTATCTCCGGTGAGTTAGCTTTTTTTCGCAAAATTCTTTTATAAAATCGACACACGAAATGAATGAACTTTTGAAACCAGCATTGCGGTAGTCTAAATCCGGGTTGGTTTAGGTTTCACTTAAAAATGACAATGATTAGACGTCTCACTTAGGAACTCGAGCGTTGTAAGGTGTTTGAAAATTCGCGAGGATGTTGAATGAAATAGTCACCTGTGAAATCGGTGCCTTTGCTCATTTTTTACTGGTCCGACAGGTTGCCTGTAAAACCAATGCAGTGCGTTTACTGCATAGCGCTCCTAATCGCTTACAAGCAGGTAAATGGTAATGATGTGAGCCTTGCATTCCTGAGAGCTTAGACGGCTTCGTGAGTAAGTAATCGTGCGTATGTGTATCTGGGTGTGTGCTTGCTCTCGCTTATCCGCCATTGTATTCTGACGGCGCCCCTCCTCACATCAATCCTTGTCAAGAAGGCGCTCATAGACCCTCTCCAGTTGCCTCACGGAGGCGTATTTTAGTGATGGCTCTGCGCACCCTCCGTCTTTATTGTAGTGGACTCTTGACTGCCTTCACAGCAGTTGTGCGCGCAATCTGTGTTTCGAGTAGATGCACACTACTGTCCACAGATGTTAGCACCTACCAATCGTCGAGGTTGATTTTTAAAATCGGGTAATTTCTTTGGTCAGAGTTGAATGGAAACAAACTACGTACGCAAGTACAAGTAGAATCGAAGGCACTTTCCAGGACCCCTAAATCCTCTTTTAAATGGGCATGCCTTTACGGACCGCAGTTTGCCTACTTACTAAACGGCTTTAATTATATGAAAAATTGAGTGTGTGCGGTCCGCTGAATCAAATGCCTTGTTATCTTACGGTCTCTCGTTGCTATCTTTCCCATTTTATACATTTTTTACCCTACTTTTGACTGAAATGACCCTCCTTGTCGTTGGATGTCTCCGAAATTATTTCTACTGGAATGTTATTAAGTACCATATGTGTTCGGGTGCAAACGACGTCACGTCAGTCTCGGTTATTGTGCTTCCACTCCGTGGTGCGGCCTTTTGGAGCACGCTACTGGTTTCTAAAAGGCAGTATGAATGGAGGCCTGCGGTGGAGTACATGCGTGTATTGTTGGCACCTTCCCCTCACCCCGTTCATTTAGGTGCCTTTTTCTCCCAATTTTTCTCGCAGTATAACGTCTTTGTGTGGATATGATCACTGGAGTGTTGATTTCAAGTATCCCACTTTCTACCAGCGAAACTCCAAGCTCTCATCAACTCGATTTCTCGACCGGGCTGGGCGAGGATATCGAAGAGACATCTGTTGCAAAGCAGGAGTTGATGTTACACCCCATGTCATCGAGCAGTTTCACAAATGACTAGAAACCAAAAAGTACAGTTTTACATGCACTTTTGAACGCTTCAAGACTATTTTTTGGTCACGAGAAACGAAGGCGGCACTGTACCACTTAGCGTGGCTCTGGTATTGCGCCATCAAAAGACTACAGCCTCGACTTAGGCGGGCGCCCGCGCAAATCAAGTGCTCCAATGTGGACTTCAAGAATAACCTCGGGTCGAGCGCTAATGTCACACATTCTGTGTGGATCTATTAATACCCACCTCGGCGACGCCTTGTGTGTTTGGCTGCTCCGCTGATCTAAAAGGCCTTATTATAAAAATGCGTGTTTCGCCTCTCTTTTGAACTGCTTGAATGCTGATTTCGTTTGAGTACACAAGACTGCGTCAGTTAGATGTTGCCCACTTGTATTTGGTCGCGTTGCTACATTCTCTTGCTTATGTGGACTTGAGCATTTATATGGTCGTGAAAGTGTTTAAGCACGCGAATTCGGTGGGCTGCGTCACTTACTCGGGGAGTAGATTCACATCATCGCCGCTTGGATTTTTTAGTTTTGGGGTTATTAAGAGCTCAGGTGGAATTTGCATAAGCGGATAAAACTCAACTCGAACTAGTGGGGAATTCTTTTGGAGTAATGGATTGTGTTTTTGGGGGATTCATTGAGAGTAGGGGGTGGGCTTCGGGCCGGTAAACCTAAAGGGCGTTTAGCTGGTTAAAAACCTTACTTCACAACGTGTTTCGCGCTGAAGAGAGGTTCAGAAGTCGGCAAATGATTTTGTGAATATGGTTTTTCTCGTTTTATGCAATCAAAATAGGTCCTCGAGTGATATAATAACTTCGTCGTTAGTTTAACCCTTCGTTTTGGTTGCACAGGCACTTAAGGTTCGACTACTCTACTTCTGCTGGGCAGCATGACATTGGACCATGCCAGTTGGCTTAGTGTTATGACCTCTTTCTAATTCAGGGAGGACTCGGGGCGATACAGTATTAGCGGCATAAAAGAGACCGAGCATATGCGGAAATGCAAAATTCCAGCTCAATATTTAGTCTATGGCTAGTTGAGATAGCCAGCGACGCCAGCGGGATTGTGCTTTCGCAATTTGTCACACCAATTAGCATACGATTAATCAGAGTATGACTGCCAAAATTCCCATATAATAGAATCAAAAAATCACCTTTTTTTGAATGTCCATGCAACCCAAACTTGACCAGAAGGTACTTGAATCCACTGCTTTATACTATGGATGCACTGGTAACGCGTCTATTACTCAATTCGGTCCCGGTATCACCATCTCATGTACGCTAAAACACATCAAAACATCAGGACTTTTTGGAAAAGAAGAAATTAGCCAACAACAGCTCTAGTTGAAATTGTTTCTTGCTATTTTATTAGCTTAAGTTATACCCGATCATTGAGCTCTTCCTTTCACACTAAACATACTAAGCTGCAAGAACAGATTATCCTGCATTATCCATAGAGTATTATCTTTTATAAATAACTTTTTATGAAAATGTACGCGCAAACCTAAAGCGAATTTTATTAACGGTGTGTTTGTTCGAATAAATTTTAACTGATCACTACTTTCGCGCCAATTCGACACATTTCTGCCAGACTAGCATTAGCTGGATCTGGCAAACACATCAATTTCCCCAAAGTTTTTCTCTGCTCCATCAGATGAGTCGGCGTTGGCATATAATAAATTAACATTTTTCCATTAATATAGTTTGTCGAATTTTGTAATAGTGGCTGTTTGAATGGGTAATATAACTGTCATTTTTTGACTGAAAAGACTCTGAAGAACGGTGTAAAATTGACGAAATCCTGTAAGGGTATATTTTAAATAGTATGAGTTTGAAAATATTAATTTAGTAAACAAAATAGGTGAGAATTGTGGTATTGCACTACCGAACGACCTTCATATCCTGTTTGCAAGAAGGTGGGTAGATGTTGGAAGCAGTAAGGCGAGCTTTAAAGGTGCATCATAATTTTGTTTCCTGCTAGGATCGAGTCTGTACCACAGGAAGCTGACATGGACATTACAATGTTGCATTCACTCATTTTGGGGTAGAAAGTACCATCTCTTGTATTACAGGAACAAAGCCTTGGTTCTTCCATCTTTTGCTCATTGTGCAGGGTTTTTATATTTTATCACTACGTTCACCCCCTTCTAAATACATCTTTGACACTGTATAAAGACTTTAGATACACAAAACAGGTTGATAATCGTAGATTTGTCGTCAAAGTTCTGTAGGAGGAACAGATTTTCAACCATATTGTTTTGAGTCCAATCAAAAAGCTCTTTGAGTTCAGTTTTCGAAGGGAGAAGATGGACACCAGTAGAACAGGCACCGAAGTATATGTGCTACTTCGCGGGGGGTGGATTGCAAGGATTTTGAAATACACCTCAGTTTTATTGCGTAAGCAAGATTTTTTGTCAGTCGTCAACTCATTTTTTCGACGATTAGTCTCGGGAATACAGATCAACGTATGGAGTAGAGTCTGAGTACAGCTGGATGAATTTCTACGAGGATTGGTCTATCCAAAGTACTTAATGCATCTTCAGCGGTTTAGCTAATCAGGTAATCAACGCGTTCATTCTGTCCCCTTCTAAAACCTTTTTTTCAAGCCTTAGTGCCCTATTGGAAAGGTCAGAGGTTGTTTGCTATAGCAAGAGCTGTCTATCCCAACTTGATTTTCTCCCGCGGCATTCGGACGATTCCTTTCAATTCTCCTCTTCTAATATGAGTGAGCGTGAAGCAAGGAAAACTGGTACTTTCTACAACGAGGATGAGGCTTATAGATGGATTGAGGAATATTGCCTTTTTCAGAAGATGACCAATGGAACTCTAGAATACTTTTGTGGCGTTAAAAGGAACCATCCATACCATGTTAGGGAGGTGCAACATTTCAATATGAAATGTAATAGGAAGGTGCGAGCTGCGTTAAAAGATCACTGTCAAAAACTGCAGAAAATGCTCCTGTGGGTCGGTGGTTCCTAGACATTCGCATTAATCGTCTTTGTGAGTGCAGACTGTTGCTGTCTCCCTGACTCCTCCCTCCCCCCGCCTTCTCTGCCATCCCCTGCCCCCCTCCAGAATATGTAATATTGTTGGAGAACTTTTATCCCTGCTCTATAAGTCGCTGCCACTGACTGTACACGCGTCTTAGTTGGTAGTAGAAGTGCACCAAATTCGCTTCGTTCTTGCTCATTCCTAGTTAATTTTTGTGCATTTCTCAGTGTATCTTCCTCCGTTGTCTTGTTGTCGATGTTAGTATTGTTTGCTGTCGTGAACAAATGATTATTTTCTTATTAGCCATTGCTTGTCAAATTTAGGGATATCATTGTCTGGACTTGAAAGCTACCACCATAAAGTATCTGGTAACGCCCGAAGGACCTAAGGTAGTACAAGGCGTGGGGATGCCGCGTTATTGTAACCCCCTGATGACTGCCATCATAAAACGTGCTAAAAATGGATATCTCTGGGGTATCCCAAGCGAATTCGAGGTAATTCTCTAGTCCGCCACTGAAACTTGGTCCACATTTTGAAATGAATGATTTTTTAATCTACTGGCAAAGGCGATTGCTGGTGCAATTGTCACCAGTTATTGTCATTTGACATGTGCTTATATGCGTGAGCGCCTTAGTCCATTCAGGGGTTGTAGTCTTGTTTTGCGGCATGTCAGTACCCTCCCAGCTCCTCAAGTCCTTCCTGAAGTCGAAAGAAGTCATAACACTAGGGCAGAACATGTACTACTGGCGTACAGAAGGTCTGGTGAGCCACTGGCATGACCCGGAGGCCACTTCGTCCAGCGCATGTACAAAGACTGAGGCTTAGGTGCCCCCGAAATCAAACCGAAAATTTAAACGAATAAGCCAAGTATTATATGTGTGTTCCCATACTACTTTGACTTATACCGAAGTCGGGAAAGACCTGGGACTCTTCAATATCATTTCTGAACCACAAAGTCTGTTTGATTGTTTTATCCTTAAGGAGATGTTTCCTAAATGAGCGCTTGACTTGCATGGATCAAGTGATAGGAATACACTTCAAATTTAAAATCGGAAAACCACATCTTCACTTAACTCTGAGATGGCAGTCATTGCTCATAGGAAGAGGTAAGACCTCCACATCGCCTAGACACTTTGAAGTCTTGTTTTAGTCGCTTAAACACTAATTTAAAGCAGGGAAGCTGCGTGCGGAGCACATTGGTCTCGATCGGGAAGTCTGTTTCCTGATTCCTACTAAATAATGACGAGCAATTTCCAATTACTGGCGCTTGAAGTGCAATAAGTCATGTGTGTAGGTCCCCAGTCATGCAAGTCGTGCCCCCCAGACCCTTGGAAAAGAAAGTTGGTTATGCTAAGTTTGATCAGGGTTACTAAGGCTTATTATTTTTTTTAAAATACACTCTGTGGATTAGAAATCATCTACACGAACTAGAGGAAGGCCGGATAAATGTAACTGGGATTCCCAAAAGGTCATAGTCTGTTGGTACATGTCGGTGGACTAAATATATACTCAATACTTCAACTGTATTTACTCCTTTGAGTTTCGACCTCGGAGAGCCCAGTCATCGTTGCACACTTCTGCGCTGCCAATTGCAACAGTATTTAGGCTCGATAGACGATGCATGATCCAGTGTCCGAATCTCGGTGAAAGCTCCAAGGCACGGTTAGGGAGCCGCGGTCACGCACGCGGATTAGTCGTGGAGACAGGAAAGCAGGACCATGCTTGTGAGTTAGACATATTCTTAGGCCTGTTAGACCGTCAGACAGCCGCGGTGTCCTAGGCCGTGGATGACTCATGCCTGCCTCGGACACTGACGGCCCGCATGTTAGTTATCCATCCGTTTTTATAAACTCTGTCTACCAACCCGATGCATTGGTAATTCCTCCACCTCTACCTCCATGGCTTGTGCGGTGCGTTTACCCTTCAATTGGATGTCTTTACGGAAACCTTTGACTTCTCCCCTCTGGTCGACCATTATAAGATAAAGTAGACACCACGGTGTCGGCAGTGTAAACTATCCACCATGGACAGACGAGCTTTTGAAGATTCAATCCAAGAAGTACAGTTATCGGGCATTTAGGCGATCGAATGTTACTCTTTAGCTTTTCCATCTCCAAAGATGGCAATTCACTTTAACTGATATGCATACTGTGGTGATGAAAGGAGTCCAATGTAGGACGCCTAGACTTCATCCAACCAGGGGATACCGATGTGCGTATCTCCTCGTCATCGCAGGACAGGTTGGAATTCGGGTGGTCAATTGTACTCAAGCATAGCGGTCAATGCTATCTGTTCGTCGGTCGGTTAATCGGTCGGGCAGTTGATTCCCTGCAATTGCGGTGTCTCGAGAGCTACGTCTTGACCGGCGGATGGTCTTTTAGATTGCAATAGTCACCACTCCTTCCTCTAACCAGATCAGACCATCTCTAATTGCCTTGTAGGCAATTGTATAAATTGGAGTTTGGGGTGGTAGTATGTGTCCAAATATTTCGCTAGTCTTCATCGAAAGAATAAGCCCTCTTCTCAACCATCAGTTTAAGTTTATGTCCTTGCAGCAATTGAACCTCCCCGACAATTGTAAATTTAACTCTCTGATCCCACTGCGCAGAATGGTGACCGCCCACGATATGCAAGTGCCTGGGTTGCAGATACCCTGGCTTCTACAATGTGAGAGGAGTCACCGTCTCGATTCAGTAGGGTCCAAATCCGAGAAGTGAATAAGAATGGGTTCAATCTGCTAATTCCCCATTTGAAAGGGAATCCGGATGGTGTACAAAGTGAAGTAATTGTCGATTTAAATAGAAGCCTTCCCACCTCAGTCATTCATTCTGTAATATAAAGGGTAGAATTCGACTAAACCGTCACGGGAACCAGGAGCACCTAGTAGCCTTGACTGCGTCAGAAGGCAAAGTTGTGGAAGAAACCAACCAATAACTCCAATATAATGGGTTGGTTGTTTAACTCTCGATTTTGGTGGGGAACCGCTGCCTCTTGGCTGGCCTTCGAGCCATGTCAGTAGCCCCAATCCCTACTCTCTGTTGAATGTATATATTCTGCTCGACTATTAAGTTTTTTTTGCCTTCAGGAAAGTCTAGGGATGCTACACCGAAGCTCAGAGACGCCTTCTGGTGTAGATGTGGCTCCCTCTAGTGTGGTTGTAACGATATTCTTTCTATCTACCACGATCCATCAATCTCCAAGTTTTTAGTGCCCATGGCAGGAAAATCATAACGCAGAACTCTTAGCTTTCATCCATAGGGGAAAGCATCTTTAGAAAAGATTCGGGGTGCTGCAATGGTGTCAGCGGAAAGCAAAACCTGATCCTAAAGAAAGTCCAGCCCAGTTCCGTGTTCTGCAGGATTGCTATTAACAACTGAAGCGATGGTAATCAAGACCCAAATCAGTTCGTTACGGAGCTGTCCGCGGTGCCTGTATGAGGATGTCAATTAAGTAAACATGTGATACCTCCTTCACCTCTCTATTACCCGAAAGAAACCTAGGTGGATACATGGCTGGGGAGCACTAAAGTGAGAACCAAGTCGCAAGGAGGAACAGATGCGAAACCCTACCCCTGCGAAACTAATCTTAACCCCGTCCTTCATTAAAAGGCTCTTATTTTACACCATTGTTCTTGCAACTAATAGTGGACATATGAGGTGGCTTTTAATTATGTTTTCCTTCTTTAAGCAATAATTTTATATTTTGTTTTACTAGGCGTTCAACTGCGCGGGCACTTCGGCCCCTACGTCCTGGCCTTCGGGCTGTTGGTGGCTTTTCGGCCATTCTATTTGGTTGAAGTATTTGATCCTCCCTACTGCTTTGGGTTATTACGACTTTGAAGAATACTCGCGGCAGCGCCAAGCAACCCCGATCCAATAGGATAGTAGAATGACATCTTTTGGGATGGATGAATCTGTGCAGATCCCCTTGCAGAAGGGTTAGAAATGAATTCTACCTTTGGGAACCCCTTATTCTGAAAGGATGCTATTTATAAATAAAGCGACATCGTTAGGTGAAGGCCGTTATGGAACTGCCCACAAGGCCTATATAAAGATGTTAATTACGTAGACATGCAGTACCACCGTTTCTGTGTCTCTACTGGCTAGGTGTAGCCCAGGCAGGGTGTTGGGCAGCACTGAAATGAGAACGCAGTGGCCAGGAGGAAAGTGTAAGCCCCGTGGAGCCAGTTTTAATGCACTCTTTAAATACATGGCTCCAGTTTTCGGCTAATTTCCTTTAGACTTTTGGTTGGCATGCATCGTCCAATCTTGTGCAGTATGCACCAAAACATTGCATAGCCCCTCTCTCCTTTTAAGCGCCAATCCGGTGTTCCCATAAGCTGGCCCTTCGCGTCGGCCATCACAAAACAGTCGGTGCTGTACGACAAACACCTACGAATCAACCGCCTCGGTCATCGAATTTGACCGCAACGTCACTGATGCCTCTCGGCAATTCTATTGTATCCGGCTGTATTGTAGGAAGAGCGAATGGGCTGAGCGTCTCATTTTTCTATCGCTAGCAGTAATAACACCGACCTAAATGCAGAGTCACTTAATAGAGGACTGTGCCTAAAATAGCTTAGTAGAGATAAGATTTCGCATATACCCCTCTTTGCCACTTTGTTCTCACTTCAATGCTATCCAGCCACATCAATCTGGGTTCTTCTTGACCTATAAGAGAAATGGTAGAGGTATCGCGTGTTTACTTCATTGATATCTTTGTACAGGTACCGTAGGCAGTTCAGCAACGAGCTATCTCGGATGTATCTCGTTTAGTGTCGCTTCAGTTGTTCGTAGCTTTTCTGCAGATCAAGGGACTAATGTAGTTACCGAGGGTAGACATCATTCCCAACCCTCCTGTTGGGGGTCCTTACAAATTCTTCCATTATCACCATACACCCTCCTTCTGTCACATTAAGGCTTCATATACAGTAATAAAAATAAGGGTAGATGTTCTTTAGGATTAAATCCTTTTCCCGCTGCCACCAATGTAGTGTCCCACGTCTTTCTCAAAGAAGTAAAGTCATAGTATTATGGTTGTAAATCTATTGCTGATGAACAGAAGGGCTGGGCTTCAACTGGCATGACCCAGAGGCCATGCCGCCAAGTAGAAGTACAGTGGCAGAGCTTTCGGTGCCCGCATAATCAAAACTGTCGAGGCATATTTACCACGTCTCTGGTTGCCAACACATTAACGGAGGAAATATGACTAACATTCTACCAGAGTTTACCAGACTGACCTAATTTACAGCATAGTAAAAATTTGGTTTTAGAGTCGGGTGAGTTACGGTACTACCTTGAACTGCAAATTTTCCAGTTCAGTTTGCTTTCTTCTGCAGCCAACTTGACCGGTCCGTTCTAGTGCTTTAGTGCCAAATCGCCCATCAGTTAACTGCCATAATTTGTCTCGTTCGGTCAGGCAACAAATGCTATTTCACACCTTCCAAATATTTTTTTTTTGTTTCTGACCTACACGGGGGGCCTTCGTCGGATTTCCAAAACCAGAGGACAACCGAATTCAAACGTAAACAATTCGGCCAGATGTCATAAAAAAGCTTTCATTCGCATCACCTTCACGAGGATACTCTCCCTATCCCTCGCCATTCTGGTGATATGTGTATTTAGATTTCAAGTCTCATGTGTCACGGTCTTAGATGAATGTTTATCGAGCGTGACGTAACAATGCATTTGCAAGAAGCGAATGTGATGGAAGGTGGGGAACTGAATCCCTGATGCCAGCATTGCCAGAAGATTATAGGCTTGAAGGTCTGCCGCTTTGTTCTCTACTCTTTGCCTTCGCTTCTTTGCATAGCTTTTTACAAGGAGCTGTTTGGAAAGCCTGCTTGCTAACTCGCGTGCTGACTGCACCAAGTGTCTTGTTGCGGTGGGAGTGACAAATGGCTTTTGTTTTCCATCATGCGCGAAGCGAAGGAACACACCGCTGGTTAGCCCATGCAAAACACTACCCTCATCGCCACCCGCTTCACATCTCCAAGGCATCACTCCATCCCAAAGTCCTCCCTTTGTATGCGTGCGTGTGTGTGGTCTCGTTGAGAACCAAAGAGTTACATCGGAGACCCATCCACTCCACACAGCTAGAAAGCTTACCAGAAAATCGTCGTCGTCTTCTTCTTACCATTTTTATTAAATAATATCCAAGACCAGTTGATTAATTGGAAGAAAGTCATCATACCGCAAATTAGGCTAGGGTGGAATGGGAATATGGAAGATATTTCCCTATCCTTCCCTCATCCCCATTGTCCCCGTTCCCCTTTGTCATGTTTCTCCAAGCAGCGTTTATTACGTACCCTAGAATTAGGTAGACAATGACATGATCACAAGTTGGGTAGGCTAACTTATTGTAAAGTAAAAGTGAAATGGAAACGGATGTGTTTTGTAAACGTTGAATTTGTTGCAAGCTTTTTGGCTCCTCGTGAAAGCACGCCAGATTGCAACAGTGATTGGTTCAGCCCAAAATATTCAGAAAGGCTTCCTATGGTTACTTAATCCTTATTATGAAAAAATACAAGAACCCTATTGCAAACTGGGTGTGTGCGTGAGCTTTGGATACTATCACGCTCCCGGTCAGAAAAATTGACAGACGAGACTTCAGAGCAGCCGCCTTTATTGCCAAAGCTTGTACGAACGTGTACACAAGCCTGATTGGCTAGTGGAGAGCACCAAAGACACTCGACGGCCTCAACACAGGCCCCCACATTCATGTTCAATTGCTTTCGGCCACTTTATATTATCCAGCAGAATGTTACCACCATGGTATACGTTACCGACAAATTACATGATGCAGAAAATCGCATTGTGGGGATTAATAAAAATTCAGACCGGCTTTATGAAACAAGCATTCACTACATTGCCTTTAAGCGCATACTTTCTCAAAACAGCTTAAAGTGATGTGTTTTTGTCAAAAATTGATGCGTATAAAGGCGACCTTGGAAGCTGGGACCCCCCAAGCTAAGTAATCAACAGACATGACCTCAATGCGCACGTCATGATTTGCCAACGTGCGCAAGTAATCAAGGCGGTACAGCGTGAGGGTAATCATACGTAATGTCTAAGTAGTCAGTAGAGAGTGCCGACGACTCGGCCGTCTCAGTTTCGTGGACTTACTGTCTCTGATTGACTTCGATCTGACAGCACTCTCGGCTAATCTAGGAGGGGCTGGGCGAGAACGCAACGCTCAAGATTGTTCGTGAAAGATTGTAGGTGTTCCCAGCAATCTTGGCTCTGTATAGCTCTCGAAAACCAGGTGTCCAAGATGGGAAGGTGTGCGACCCTTGGGTGAACCCCTTAATGTCGATGAATATGTGTTTCCAGATGCTTGATTTTCTAACGCGAAAACGAAACTTATGACTTTAAGGGATCTATTTTTTGATGTGCCAACCCTGCAGTCCAAGTGTTTCATTACGTTAGGCGCAAAAAGTAATTGTTATTCGATTCTCTAACTTATTTCAACTTAATGCTATCGTAGGATCCGAGTTAAGCCTGAAACCTCGGCAAGGCATGCTCTCCTTGATTAAGTCTTGATAGGAAACTGGCCTCCTTGGTGGCATAATCGTTGGCTCAAGTTACCGACAGGGAAATTAGCCGCCTGATTAGGCTACTGCATAATTATATACAATTAAAACAGATGTCATTGTGCTACGTACTCCCTTGCCTATTTTAAATAACATATCACCACTTGATCTCCGTTATCGTTCGCCTCCTGAATCCATCATAGGCCTTCGTGGGAGTTGAAATCGACCTCTGTAGTGGAAAAAAGATCAAGGTAGTTAGATCTATGAAGGAAATAAATGGTGAGGATTTCTAACTACTCCTTCCTTTGCTGCTCGAATTGGAATGAGTGGAGACTAATATGAGTAGTAGTTGGGTGCATTTCCCTGCTTGTCATTTGTGCGGTAGCGCGGTGGAATGTACAATATTCTAACTTTGCCCCCTTCTATACTTCAATCGCTTTTTTTCAGAAGGTACAGGCTACAAATAAAACAAAAAACTAAGAGGTTGGTTGTGTGCCAATCACTTTAATAGCCACATTGTTTTTTATCCTCAGCAGATCGTTGTGAACCACCTCGAGTACCCGAGTCCTCACAGAAGGATTGACAATACGCGAGAGTCCATGCAAAAACTTTTTATCAAACGTATAAAGTGGAGCTGATAAGTTTCTGGTTCACAAGACCGCTCTTACCCCGAACTCTGGAACCAACGAGATGGAATGCTGGGGATCATCAAAAGAGGAACGATGCAGAAAATTCGGCTTTGTGCACAGTCTGCAGCAGATTGGCTGTTCATCAGCAAATGCAGGATTATGCTCCACTTCAACTTCGCATCAGTGTCAGGATGAATGTTGCACGGGGGACCTTTGCTGGCTTTCCAAAGCCAGAGGGCAATCAAATTCAACCACAGACGATTCGTGCGAGGTCGATACTGCCCCCAGTGGTTTCTGCAGGGCAAATTTAAATTAACGAGCCATCTTCATGAGTGATCGTTCTGCCACTGAGTAGAGAGGATTAACTTGCCTACCCCAGTTCCTCTTGCATCTGGCTGTAAATGATGTCGATTGGGTGCTCACTGGTACGAGCTCCTTCACAGACCTTCGACATGTCGGAGAAGAGAGGGGCTTGATCTACAGTAGGATAACAAGGCCGTTCTAATCGGGCACACATACAAGTAGACGAAAAAGCAATGTATTGAAATGCAAAATTAGGAGATATATATTAGGAGGTATATGCTGTTTTACTTGGATAAAATTTAATTTGGAGCTTCAAATTTCTCAAAGGTCTTTGTAGTATTCTACTGAGGCTATGTTGATCCTGGAAGTGAACTACTTGGACGCTGATGAAAAAGAAGTAGTACTAGAACACACGTGAAGCAGTAGAGTAGGGTGACGCAAAAATTCTATTTCGTTTGAAAAGGGGAGGAGTTAAAAAGAGAGTTCGATGGCCGGTGACCAAATAAAAGGCAATTCTCCCACAATTAGCCCAGAATATAAACTAGCTCCATGTAAACAGCTAAATTGGTTTCTTTTTCTCGATATTGCAAAAAGCTCCAGTTCCACAGTTGACCATCTACTCTAATTGAAATCTCAGGATTCAGCACTTTTGCTGGCAGCATCCCTATAAGTTGTCAAATTATTGTGACAAGTCATAATGAGTATTTCTGTAAACAGGTTGGTTGACTTTAAAATCAGAAAAGTGATGTGGAATGCCCTTGATATGAGGATAACTGATGTTCAAAAAATCACTAAGCAGCTACTAGAATTGGATAAGAAAATCCTAGTTCCGTTGGAAATCAGAATGTTTCAGCCTCAATACTAAAATGCTTTAGTGCCTAACAGTAAGTTGATGGGTGGGCATTTGGATGGAACCTACTGTGATCCAACCGACTGAAGGTGAAGTCGATAACACTAGCGAGTGGTCCACCACAGGGCCGATAGACAACACCGTCCAGAGTCGAACTGGGTGCCTCGTTCTCACATTCTCTCATTCCCTCCACACAACTCATCAACACGTTGCCACAGTGCAGATCGCGGTGCTCAAACCGCAGTCTGCGTTCCGCCACCGCCAAAGCGAGGGCAGTCTGACAGAAGATCGACAGTCGCGCCTGCAGACACGACGGCTGTGCAGGAAGCACCCACAAAATTGTTATTGTGAAATGGGTTTGTGAGAATAAGAAAGATGCAGCTAAGTGGGGAGTATGGACTAATTACCCATTTGTCTGATATCACGTCTCCACAATAGTCACACTCCAGAGCGACCCACTTTTGTGTTTTGGGAAATGCATCTGCAAAACAAAAGTGGGAAGTAAAATGTGAGGAATACTTCCATGCAATCGCATGCTGTCAGTCATTTTTGCTTTCGCTGTTTCGTTGTGGCAAGGTAACCTTGGAAGGATCTCTGGGCCACACTAACAATGCATTCACTTCGACCACAAAAGATGTATTTAATGGCAGGACCTTTTTGAAAATTGCAACATTTTGTCGCAAGGCTTGCATCCACTTTGCAGGAGTAGAGAAACAACTCCAAACGAATTTTTACAGTCCAATCTTGACTTAAATGCATCACAGAAAGTTTGAGATTATCGCCGCTGTCAGCTTGCACAGTGCCAGCATACTTTACAGTCGGAGCATTGCATCCTTAACTGTGGTACAAAAGTTTGATGAGCAGAGGATGTGGTGTGAGCAGTTGCATCAACATCCACAAATGGCAATTCCAAATCACCACCTCCTTTCCTTCCATGAATTCAAACATTTACGGAAGGCAATAGGGAATGCAAAAGACTCACTTGTTTCAATTTTCGCAGACTTCTCGACTGACTGAAGCTGCTTGCATGCAGAGAGGAGGTAGGAGGGTAGGGAGCCCTGCAGAACACTGACTCGTTGCAAGTGCACGAAGTTATGAGTATTGCTGCGGTCAGAGAGGGGCACGAGGGCAGGGCAGGTGTCCAGTTGGGAGACTGCTCGCATTGCAATCACCTCGGGCAGCACATCAGAAGCCCGCATTTGTTGACGACCCTGGAAGTTGAGGCCGCCCTCAATGGGGATTAGCTTCACCACTGTATTCTCATTCCGGAAGGTGAACACCTTGCTGTAGGTGCCCACTCCCATCTTCACCACGTTTTCTATGCGTCTGGATAAGAAGGAACATTGTGGATGTCTAGCCTGTCATCCTTCCGGCGTTAGGCAAAGCAAAGGAAATTCTTCACCATTCTAATTCCGCATTGTCTGAATGACATCAGCAATCGTTTCAAAAGGCTGATTTCTGGATGCATTTTGGGTATTGCGCACAACTGCACAACAGTTTTCTCACATAAAAATGAACATTAACGCCAAGTGCACATTAAATTTATTAAATTAATTCTAATTGGATCCTCTTATCTAGTGAAAATCCCATTTCATTGTCATAACTCCTAAGAGCTATAAGAAATATGGTGTCAAAGGGAACCTTTGAAGATGAGTGCCTGAACCAATCACCTTGTGGATTGTCCCTCACACCTAACATGATTGACCACCGGCGAAACCGAGGAGGACAATAATGTAAAAACACTGAGAGGCAAACTTCATAATGCCAACGTTGACTCACTCTTGAGTGAAGACGTGCCTAAACGACAGAGGCCTCTGCTGATGAGTTATTTTGACAAGAAGGTGGTAAGCGGTTTCAGAGGAACGCAGACGAGAGCTAGATTCCCTGCAGTTTCGTTCTCCATTCTGCTCACCAAAGCCATCGCTTTCCTCGTCGCTGCTAGAGCACGAAACCTAAATGGAACAAATTGTCGTTTGCAAAAGCCCGTTTAGGCACCAATGACTACAATCTACCAAAGCACGTCTCCTCAATGAACGTATTTTCACTGACATACCAACTAGCAATTTTCCGCAAAAAAACTTTTCGTTGCATAGATATCAGATGTATGGAGCCTATGGTAGAGTAAGACAAATTGTGAAGGAAATGAATATTTGTGAGTGATTTCGCGATGGTGGAGAGACAGAACTACAGTCAATTGAATTGCATATTCAACCACTCCACCGCCTTAGCAGCCGCCGTAGTTGCGTCTTCCATCTCGCCAGTAAGGCGCTCCGTTCGTGCCGTTTCTTTTGAGAGCTTACCAACCTTTCTTTTTATCGATGATAAGGTTTTATCCAGAAGCGTACACATTACAAAGTCTTCAAATAGGCCTCGAGTGCTATTGTCTTTCCACCAAACTACTACCTACATTTTCCACGGTGATCTCTAAGCCAGATTCTTACACCACAGCTACTGCATGAGCAATTAGAAAGTAGGGATTGCTGTTAAAAACCATTTTACATGAAATGCAAAGGAATGCTTCCGAAAAGTAGCAGCTTCCATTAACTGTGGGTCTCAATAATTGAACTTATCCCAGTTTCACTGACAGCACGATTAAGGCCACAAGAAAATTGATTCTCATGCTCCCACCACTCTTCCATTTCTCCCTCCCGACAGGAATGCATGTCTGCATTAGTGGAAGTCATGTCGATGCTTGATACCCCACTCGCACCCTCTGCGAAAGGGGCAATGAACGTAGGCTGAGTGAATAGACTGACAGCGGTGACCTGACAGAGAAATAAAAAACAACTGCGCATCAAGACGAAGAAATAACCTCACGGACCAGAGCGACTCGCATCACACCAGTCCACAAAGTCGCCTGCTCGAGGTGTGAAGCATACGGTTGATGAACTGCACTCATATTGACTATCGGAAATCAATGACGATTGGCTAAGTTCCATTGGACAGATCTGACCAATCGGTCGACACACCGTCTCAGAGGTTGACTTGGCGTCGGATGTGATCACTGGGTGGGGCATGAGGAGGAAATAGTTGCAGTGTCATCGACATGATTAACCCACTCAAGGGGGTCTAAACCCCGACTCCGACATTTTGACACACAGGTCATAAGCTTGTCACGCCACTCATCTCCCCTCTGGAATCCACCCACATCGTTTCAAGGGATGCAAATGGCAGCGAAATACTCACTGAATGTCACATTCATTCACACATGCCGATCAGTGTGCAAACGAAACACCGAGGGGGTTTGAGAGAGGAACATGCACCTCTTGTCGTCAACCCAACACGTACTTCTATGGCACGCTATTCCATTTGCTCCACTAAGGTGCTGATTTCACTGTTGCTCTCAGCTATAGTGGTGCAATTCTGACTTCGGTCAGAAGTCTCGTTTTTGTTTTTACGCACCTTTAAACGTTAACCGGGCAATAGTGTTTGAAGAAAAGGAAAACACCTCAAGGAAATGCTTGTGCATTGTCATCACCTAAACGGATGTAAGGGAGTCGTGTACAGTGCCTAAGTAGTCACGGTGACAACAGTTATTCAGTGTTTTGAAGTCAGATGGGAATTTTTAGACCCACAGATACGCTAACAATGTGGTAGGACCGTAATGGCACCGCATGCGGTGGTAGACAAGTGAGTCCCTTTACGCACTGCTAGTGACCGGTGGACACGTCGACCAATCCAAGCATCAGTTGTATCACAAGTAGAGGTGGGTGGATTTTCCAGTGCACAAAAGCGTATAATTTGTAGATACCTTCAGAACACGTCAATTACAGGACGGTGGATGAGATGAATGTTTCGGCCAAGACCGTATCTGTGGTTAGACACTCCACCAAACACACAAAGGCTGAGAACGACTCACTGTGGATAGTCAATGCACATGTCAAAATGGTACACAAGAAATGATTCTTCCCTCGGGGGCGAAAAAACAAGCTTATTCGTGAGCCCTTAAAACACCGGAATTCTTGACGAGAAAGTCCAGAGTTATCTGGGTCGATTTGCTGCATGTGGCACAATCAGGATGCACGGCTTCCCACCGGCATTTCAACGATTATCCAGGCAGTGGAAACTCCCGCCGTCACCACCGATGATGAGCTGAGCTAAGTTGTCCCACAACGATTTAGCCTTACTAACAAATCCTCTAATTTCGAGGCTTTTATGATGGTCATTAATAAGGGTCTGTGGGGTGTTGTAATCTGAGATCCCTCCAATATCGATGCTAATATTTTAAAATTTTGAATTCACATGTCTATTCTGTGGGGGGTACATTAAAACGGTAGCTAATGCACATTTTGTGAAGCAGTTTTAGATGTAAAATACGGCTATTCAACAAACTCTAATGCGAACGAGACGTACGTGCTCTCACCTCCACACCACAAATGGTAATTGTGCCATCAGGATGCTAAGTGGACAAGCTGTGGCAATGTGCAGCATGACTCACGTGCTGACATGACGGCAAAATCACGTGACCTCCACCCAAGTTATTACAATGTTTGACCGTGTGTTGAGGCCAAATGTGATTATGAGTAGTCATGTGAGAAACGGAAGGGGATTTTCTTCACGTTTGTCTACACGTCCTACCTGTTTTTGAAAAAGAAGCACAAGGGGAAGGCGCTATTCTGCTACGCGTCCCAATTGTGTGGAGTGGATGGGCCTCAGTCGTCGCTGTCTAATTTCACACACACGAAAGTGGAGGGTGGTGGGGTTTGGGACGGGTGGTGTCCCGGACATATCGGGGGGCGGGTGGCGATAAGATACGTGTTTTGTTTGGGTTAGTCAGCGCTGTGTTCATTCGCTCTACAAAAGCCGTTTGACATTATCAACTTAACAAGGCATTTAGTACAGTCGGTGAAGTCAGTGACTGAGTCAGCAAACAGGTGTTCCAACAGCACTACTTTTAAAGTGAAGTAGATGGAAAGAGGGAAGGAGTAAAGAACAAGGCGATAGAACTTCAAGCCCATTATCATCTGTTGATGCTTGACATGTGGGATTGAGTTACTCGCCAGTGACATCGAGCATCTCTTATGCTTCCTGCATCACTAGTCCCTCAGCCCCAAAACCTGTGCAGCTCATTAAGCCTTTACGGCTGACTCGGATGTCGCAATGATGGAAGCGTTAACACATCAACTTCAAAGGAATAACACTAATCCCAATTTTGTCGAATGGATCGCATAGGCATGATTTCTGTGCAATTATGTAGTTAGGGAAATAACATATCGAACCCTCTTAAGCATGTTTTGCACCACAGGAAAGCCTGGCACGATACATGGAAGAGGAAGTACTGCGTGATGGGAACGAGTACGTGTGTAGTGTCTGCCAGCAGTCACAGTCGGCCA